CCGGACGCTGAGCCTCCAGTGTCCGGTCGTTTCCAATAAGGTTCTAGAAACGACATTTCACGACCGGACGCGTCTGGTCAATCGCGATTGGACGCAGCACCAGCGTTTGGTCACTCTCCAGCTTTTGCTCTGCCTGCGTCACCATACGTCACCCTGACCGGACGCACCCTGTCAGCGTCCGGTCACATCCAGCGCCAGCGTCCGGTCGATGACCGACGCCTGCCCGCTGACTGCCACTACTGACCGGACGCTGCAACCCAGCGTCCGGTCACTGCGTGACCAGAGTCCGGTCCACTCTGTGAGACCCTATCTTTTCGGAATAGGGCGCCGGTGGCACCGTCGGAAAAGGACACTCCGCTGGTGGAGTTTCGAACCCTTCTCACCTCCGTTCCAACGCCGAGTTGATCCACATCAACTCCGACTTCATCTCCTTTGTAAATGTGCCAACACCACCAAGTGTACACCACCATGTGTATGTGTGTTAGCATTTTCACAATCATTTTCCAAAGGATTAGCCACTCAACTTGCCACGCCACTCAATCCTAGCGACGATGCAAAGTTAGATCACTCGAGTGGCACTAGATGACCGATATGCAAACAAGTTTGCCCCTCTTGATAGTACGGCCATCTATCCTAAACCCGATCATCAACTTCTCTACACACCTATGACCGATGAAATGAAATGCCCTAGGTTATACCTTTGCCTTGCGCATTCCATTCCATTTTCAATGTTGATGCAACACATGCACCAACATGATCAACAATGATATGATCCACTTCATATCATCACGTGATCATATTGGTTCATCGATCTTGACATCACTTGCTTTTCACCATTGCCTTCGTCCATCGGCGCCAAGTCTTGCTCAAGCTTCACCGCCACGCGGTCCATCGCTCCAAAGCCTCCGACTTGCCCTTCACGCTTGCAACTGGTCCATCAAGCCAAGTCTTGTCTTGATCTTCTCCACCTTGATCACATGACTCAATGTCATGTCTCATGTGCAATAAGCTCCTTCATCATCACATGTGTGAGCTTTGCAACATCTCCAAACCATTTTCACCTTCACGGCATATGTTGCTCACACACATGTACTGGTGGACTAATCACCTATGTATCTCACATAAACACAATTAATCCACCTAGGGTTGTCATTCAATTACCAAAACCACACAAGGACCTTTCAGCAGTCCTGGACTGCAACAAACCAACCTCCTCGATGGCCTTTCGCCCACTCGAGGAAACCAAGGCGGTGGGAATCGACCCCACTGACCCTATCAAGGTGGTGCGGATCGGGACCTAGCTCCCGGCCAAATAGGAATGCGAGCTCGTTGACTTCTATGCGCGAATCGTGATGTCTTCGCATGGAAACCTTCTAACATGCCGGGCATACCATGGGAGGTCACCGAGCACGCGCTGCGCCTCATCCCTGGCTTGAAGCCCGCCAAGCAGCGCCTGCGTCGCTTCGACGACGAGAGGCGCAGGGCCATAGGCGAAGAGATCGCCAAACTCCTGGCAGCCGGATTCATCAGAGAGGTATTCCACTTCGACTGGCTTGCCAATCCTGTTCTTGTTAAAAAGAAGACCGAGAAATAGAGAATGTGCATTGATTATACTGGCCTCAACAAAGTATGTCCAAAGGATCACTTTCCCTTGCCACACATAGAACAGATAGTAGACTCCACCTCAGGATGCGAGATCCTCTCTTTTCTGGATGCCTACTCAGGCTATCACCAGATTATGATGAAAGAGTCTGATCAACTCGCAACCTCGTTCATCACCCCGTATGGTTTGTATTGTTATGTAACCATGCCTTTCGGTTTGAAGAATGCTGGCGCCACCTACCAAAGGTGCATGTAGCAATGCTTCGCTGACCAAATCGACTCGCTCGATCAGCCTGATCAAGCTGAGTGGCCGAAACCAACAATCGCCGTCTATGTTGATGACATAGTGGTCAAAACGGCTCAAGCTTGTGATCTGATCGCAAACTTGGCCGCAACGTTTGCGAACCTCCAAAGGTTCAACATCAAATTGAATCCTGAGAAATGTGTTTTCGGGGTTCCAAAAGGGAAGCTGCTTGGATACATTGTGTCCGAGCGCGGCATCGAGGCCAACCCCAAAAACATAACGGCCATCTCCAACATGGGCCCTATACGCAACGTCAAGGGCGTACAAAGGCTCACCGGCTGTCTGGCCGCCCTGAGCCGATTCATCTCCCGGCTCGGCGAACGGGGGATGCCACTCTACAAGCTCCTCAAAAAGACGGACGTCTTCGTCTGGACCGAGGAAGCTTAGCAGGCCCTAGAGAGCCTCAAAGCGTCACTGACATCGACCCCAATCCTCATCGCTCCCGATTTAGGAGAACCCCTCCTCCTCTACGTCGCAGCGAGCAACCATGTGATGAGCGCCACCCTGGTCGTCGAAAGGGAGGAGCCGGGACACCACCTTAAGGTCCAGCGACCCGTATACTTCATCGGGGAGGTACTCACCGACCCCAAGGTCCGGTACCCTCAGGTGCAGAAACTACTATACCCCAATGTATGTATGGGTTTGTTACTAGATGATGGTTGTGATGAATCTCCTATGCTAGGAGGAAAAAAACACGAACTCACCATCATTTTGGGAATGGTGGCGATAGTTTGCATCCATGGCAAATGTGTTGTGTGTTTATTTTACCAATACCTGATGTTTGAGAAATGTGCAACAAAGAATCAAATTTTACTTCTAGTACTTCTGTCGGCAAAGGAAAATGAAATTATGAGACTTATGATTCACCATATGAAGTGTTTGATCATATCTCTTGATGTGCTTGGAGATGACCCGATGGTGTTGGGGCTTATACGGAATGCAGATCAGCAAAGGAAATGTATGCAAGGTATACACATGTGTGCATGTATATATAGGCACTTTTGCATAACGGCTAGCTTTGCTTTCAATGCTGTGTAGTTGTTCAGATTTAAATAATGGGAGCAGCGGCCAGCTCCTTTGTTTCACCTGAGCTCCTACCAAAGGCCATGTCATATACTTTCCTTTGTTTTTAATTCCTATGGGATTAGAGAAGTCCGTCATCTCAATTCATGAGTTTTTCCTTGTCCTATCCTTTAATCCAAAGGGGATATATATAGATTTCTAGTTGAGTCTGTCGACAGCAGAGAAAATTCCTTTGTGTTTTGGTAAACCTTATGGAGAAATTATTTGTTACTAGCAAACTTGCATGCGTGCTACAACAAAACCTAATACGTCTTACAACTGGACTCTGTATCATCATTGGACGTGAATCTTTCTAACTCATATGAACATGAGCCATTGTCTAGGTCATATGCATACGAGAGCCGGAGGATGCAAGAATATTTTGAAAATTTAAAAAGCGGGTTGGCTGAAACCCTTAGATAGAGATTAGGTATATGCACATGTGCCTCACTCGCGAACCAAACCATCCCATTCCATCCCACAAAATGATTCAATAATTTAAAATAATTTACCATTCTATAGAGGGGATTGTGTGACTATTAGTATTTAGCGGAGAGCTCTTCTTACCCGCTATAATCAACATTATTTTGGTAGCCTCTATTGTCCACTGTAGTCTATACTATTTAGAAAGAAGGCGTGAAAATGTTGCCATAAAAAAACCGTTTGTAGCCATAACAAGAATATAGTTTTTGTTGAATGTGGGTATTAACTAAAATCAAACCGGTCAAGAAACTTTCAGTCTGTTCGGTTGGCTGGTTCGTATCATTGCTGGTTCGTTTACGTAAGAGAGAAATACTGCTGATATGTAAGAGAGAAATACTGCTGACTGGTTCATATAAATAGTATCCATATGAGGGGACTGGCCAGCCAGCCTAGCCAGCCAGCCCCAGCCGATCGGGAAGTTTAACATTGAAGCTCTCAGTAAAGATCCAGTGTCTTATTTTAGCATTTATTATTCAGCAATTTATGGTAATTTCATTTAAACTTTGTTCAACATTTTCCGGCCAAAAAAATTCTATCCAGTTTTACCTTAGACTGTCTCCAATGGGGAGACGCATACCCAAAATTACGTCCGGCACAGTGCTTTAGGTATCAAAAACCCTCTCCAACAGCTAACCCAAACACATGACCCATTTTGGGTACCAGCCCAGACAACACGCAAAAATGCATCGCCTCTTCATCGCTACGCAAATCTGTGGCCCGCCCGCGCATGCCTCCGCACCGCCGAGGTGGCCGCTCGTCGCCGCGTCGGAGAAAGCCCAGGCGCCGGCGCCCTCCTCCTCCTCCCTCTCCCCTCCCAGGCCTGACCCCGCGACACACCCGCGCGAGGGCGCGCGCGCGTGCGCGGCATGGCCGCCGCCGTCGCCCGCGTCGAGCGCCGCCGGGCTCTGCTTTATGCCGCCGCGGCCACCCTGCGCCCGGGCTCGGCCGGATCTGAGGCCCCACGGCACCCAGCCCCTTCCTGCCCGCCCGGCGCTAAGGAGGCTCCGCGGGGGTCCACCTTCGCCGCCGCTGAGCACCATGAGCAGGAGAGGAAAGCCCGCGCTGTGCCACCGCCGCCGCGGCGCGCCACCTCGCCGGAGGACGGCCAACGGAGAGGGGGAAGAGAGAGGCGGCTCGCCCGCCGCCGGGGCCCACGTCCACGCGCAGCGCAGGGAGGCCGCCGCGTTCGGGATCCGCCGCAGCGCCGCCACCTCGGGAGAGAGAGGGAGATGGAGAGAGGAAGGGGAGGCGACGGGAGCTTCGTTTGCGTCGGCTGTTGGAAAACGAGATGTTTTACGTCCACGACCCTTCGCTGTGCGCTACTCAAATCATGATATGCTTCTCGTTTTTAGGTACGGTCGGTTGGAGACCGTCTTATAAATCTGGTTATTGCGGTGAGGCGGTGAGCCCGTGACCGGGAAAGAAAACGTTTTTTTTTATGTGCGTGTGTGGAAGTGGAAAGATCGAAAACGTTCAGCTTCAGCCCCGCAAGGGAAGTTAGAGAGAGATTTGTAATTTGTTCGATCCCCCTGTGGTTCGTACGATTCCGATGATGGCCGGCGGCGACGACCTAGCCGCACTCCACGAGCAGGTCGCCCTCGCATCCTCCGCCGCCATCTCCGCCTCCGACCTGGACCTCGCCTTCCAGCTCCAGGTCGCCGAGGCCATCCAAGCCTCGCTCCGCTTGCCCAATGCCGCCGCCTCGTCATCGTCGTCGCAGGCCGCCCCCGTCCTCCCCGTCCCCGAGCCCTCCTCCGACGCCGCCTACGCCTTCGCGGTCCAGGCCGCCGATCTCGCGCGCGCCGAGCAGGACCGCCGCGACGCCGAGGCCTGCCGCGCCGCCCACGCCCGGGCCGCCGCCTCCGCCCGCATCGCCGCGCACGACGCCTTCTTCGCCCGGGACCTCGCCGCCATCCCCGAGGAACAATGGGCCCACGACGGCGACTACTTCGAGCGCCCCGTCGACTCCTCGCCCCGCCCGCTGTTCCGCGTCTTCTCCAAGGGTATGCCGAGCAGGGACGTCGTGGGCCCGCGGGACCGGGACCCCAGCATCGCCGTGCTCGCGGTGGCTGTCTGCAGGACGCAGGGGGGAGTGGTGCTCAGGATACAGAAGCCGGTGGAGCGCTTTGTGGGCGGCCGCATGATTGTGGAGGTGATGGCGCTGATGGAGGGCCTCGACGCCGCCCTGGGGTTGGGCATCCGCAGTGTCACCGTCGTCACTGGTTACCGCCCGCTCTACAACCATGTATGCCATGACAACTCTTTACCTCTCCACCTTCACCTATTTTATGCTAGTTGATTGAGTTGCCTAAGAGATATGATCAGGAGAGAATATAAGTCAATTGAATCAATAAAAAAACTACTTTTAGTAGATTTGGTGCTGCTGTTCCCATGTGCTTAGGATATTTCCCCTTTTCTAGTGCCTATTCAGTTCTGAATCTGAGTGGAGAAGCTAGCAGAACTGTACTGTCTGCTGGATAGGATTTGGTTCTTTATTTTAGTGATGCTTAACTTGCGCTGCAGCGGAAAAAAGGATATAACCCATCAGATTTTTTCATTGACAGTCAGTTCTCAATAGTTTCTGTACTATTGATGCTTCCTTCTTTCCGTTACCAGTTCGAACTGAAAACATTGTACTGTTTTTGCTACCCTCCCATAACAAAGTCTCTCCTGCTCGGTTCCTTTAAAAAACAAAAACATAAGAAAGTGTTAGAATTTGATATGCCAAACTTCCTTAAGCTTTTGTGGTTTGAGCGTATTTCTTTACTCATGTCTTGATCAATACATCATGTTTTCAGTCAATGGGCAGTTAATGAAGATGCCAGTCTAAAATTATTCAGTACTCACACACACTTCCCTGTGTTTCCCTTTCCACTTCCCTGTGTTTCGGACCCAGGTTTTGGTCCCCAGATGGTTTTCTTGGGGGATTTGTTACTGGATCCTTTGGGATTTGGGATCAACCTGTAATGTGTTTTTTTGAACTCTCTTTTCTTGGGGGATTTGGGATTTGGGATCAATTCCTGCCATTTTTGTTCAAGAAAAAGTACTCACAAACACTCCACTGTATGTAACACTAAAATGGAGTATTCGTTGTAACACAACTGCATGGTGTTAGATGTTTCAAGTCATTTGTTCAGCAAGATCTTGTAAACTTGAAGGGTGATATGCGTCTGGTTCGGTGCCAATCTTTGTGATGTATACATCTTCCATTCCATGTGCTTAGATCTTAGGCATAGGCCGCCAAGAGATATTGATACTAGTTGATTGAGTCGCCCAAGAGAAACTTAGTTTTAGTATATTTGGTGCTGCTGTTTCCATGTGCTTAGGGTATTTCAATGTCTGTTCAGTTCTAAATCTTACTGAATACTTACGTGAGTGGAGAAGCTAGCAGCACTGCAGTGTCTACTGGACAGGATTTGGTTGGACATTAAGCCTTAACGTACTCTTGAAATGAGTATTTTGTGGCGCCATGATCCCAACTTGTCTGAACATGCATTGGTTGTCTTGCTTATTGCATTGCAGGGGGGAAATGATATATGAATATGATGGATCAGACTTTTTCCATTGATATCCAGTTCTCAAGAGTTTCTGTACTTGATAGTTCCTTCTTTCAGCTACCAGTTTGAACTGAAAAAATAGTATTGTTTTTTGCTACTTTCCCTATTCATAAGAAACATAAACAAGTGTCAGAATTTTAGATGCCAAACATCACTAACTTTGTGGTTTCACTCCAGTCAATGGGTAGTTTCACTAAGATGTCAGTCTACAATTATCCATTACTCAGTAAACCCTAAACTGCAGCATTTGTTGTAATACAACTGCATAATGTTTTGAGTCATTTGTTCAGCAAGAAGTGTAAATCTGGAGGATGATATGGATCTAGTTCAGTGCCAGTTTTGCTGTTGTGTGCATTGCTAAGTAGAAAACTTCTTAAGAATTTTCTTTTGTTCTGGTCTTATGATGATACCAGCCTACCCTGTATGTGCTTGACAAATCATAATAATTCACTCTTCTGACCATGTTTTCCTAATATATACTCTGTGCATTTGCAGATGCTTGGCATTTGGCGTCCATCAGGGAAGAAGCTGGCAGATATGATGAATCAGGTTCTGTCAGTCCGAAGGAAGTTTGATCAGTGTGAAGTCTCACTTGTTGAGCCAAACCAAGTCAGCTATGTCGTAAAATTAGCAACAGATTCACTAACTGTTCAGATTGCCAAAGCTCTTGCTGCCAATGTTAGCAAGGAGAAAAGAGAGAGCTGCGCCATCTGCTTGGAAGACACTGACATTACCAAAATCCATGTGGTTGAAGGTTGCACACATCGCTTCTGCTTCTCGTGCATGAAGGAGCATGTGAAAGTTAAGCTGCTCAATGGAACTCTCCCTGCTTGCCCACAAGAGGGATGCACCACAAAGCTAAGTGTGGAGGGCTCAAGGGTATTTCTTTCGCCGCGGCTGTTAGAGATCATGGTGCAACGCATGAGGGAAGGACAGATCCCTCCAAGCCAAAAGATTTACTGCCCGTATCCCAAGTGTTCAGCCTTGATGTCCTTGGGGGAAGTGATCCATCCGATGCAAGAGTCGTCCTCAAGGTACACAGCTGCTGATGCTGCCACATTGAGGAAGTGTGTGAAATGCAGAGGCTCCTTTTGCTTGAGCTGTAAAGTCCCATGGCATGATGGGATGAGTTGCTATGAGTACAAGATGAGGTACCCCCACGCTCGCTCAGAAGATGCAAAGTTACAGAACCTGGCAAGGCAGAGGCTGTGGCGGCAATGTGTGAAATGCAAGCACATGATCGAACTTGCGGAGGGCTGCTACCACATGATCTGCGTGTAAGGCCCCATTCTCTTTATTATTCCATAAATTGCACAATGCAAGCATCCTAAAAATCTGCACTTATTATGTTTGCCAGTGCTAAGAAAAACTTCTGTTGTACGTGTGTTGCTGCTTCTTGCATTGCAGGTGCGGCTATGAGTTCTGCTACACGTGTGGGAAAGAGTGGAAGAATAAGAAAGCAAGCTGCTCCTGCCCGCTGTGGGATGAACGCAACATCATCAGAGAGGAAGACGATGATGACTACGAAGACGACGATGATGGTCTTTACTACTAGAAGGCTGTTACAAATCCTTTCCTTTATTTATGTTATTGCAGCTACATACTAGCCTGCCTTGGAAGAGTTTTAGTATCCCTATATATCCCTAGTATTAATGTTAGCAGCTTAAGTATATTGGAACCTACTAATTAAGATGCAATGGAGGGGAAAAAAAACAAGCAGAGTTTGTTTGTCGCATTTTGGACCGGCCGTGCCTTACCATTAGTGGGTCTCGCTCCACTGAATGTTCTGGGTGGTGGCATGCATAGGCATAAGAGTGGTTGTGTGTCGTAGTGGCATTGAAGTGGGCCAATATGCATGTGAACCTCTACCACTCTATATGTGTTCTTGTGTTGCGTAGATGTAAACATCCTATTGAAACTGTACTAGGCCCTGTTTGGGAGACATTCTCCGTGCTGCAGCCTCCAGCTAGCGCCTTCTGGCTTCAAAAGAGAGACCCTACCTGTGTGTGTGTGTCTATATATATATATATATATATATAGAGAGAGAGAGAGAGAGAGAGAGAGAGAGAGAGGGGGGGGGAGGGGGTAGAGAGAGAGTTTATGTATGCAATACAAAACCGAAAAGGATTCAGCCTAACCGAGCGGAGCTTAGCTATACATACATGTACAACAAAATTGGGATCGAGTAGGAGACGAAGACGTGCCTGCAAACCGGCTGTGGTGATTTGAGCTGACCGGAACGGAGGCTGATGATCTATGAATCTCCAACAAGTCGTCGAGTCGCACAGGAATTTCGGCGGCAGCGTCGCAGTTTAGTTTCGGATTGGTCGGTCTTGCATGCATGCGCACACGTAGACGAACGATCGATCCACGATGGCTGAAGAAGAAGCGGGGGATCATCACCCTTCCAGATGTATGTCATGTGCAATTCAAATCACAAACACTTAATTCTTACCCCAATTTTTGTTTACATACAACTGTATTGATCGATCTTGCCTCTCGTCGTTCTTTCTTCATGCAGGATATCCTCTACCACATACATGTCTTTATGCCGATGCGCTATGCTGCTCAGGCTGCCTGTGTCTCCCATGCCTTCCTCCGTTCCCAAGCTCATCTTGGACATCTACACGCTAGGATTATTGGAGGCAGACTACCTATCGTCGTTTGATCCTATCGACAAAGAACTACCGATCATAGAGGATCAAATCAACGAGGGCGTCAACGCAACCATGCATAGAAGAGTACTACCAAAGGAACGATCCCATGGTGAGAGAATTCGTCGCTAGAGTCGACCACATCATGCACAACCACACTGGAACCGGCATCGCAATCTTCTGGGTTCAGCCTCCCCCTGGCTTCTACATAGACCCTGACATTCTTGACCGCTGGTTCCAGGCTGTGATCCCACAGGGGATCATAGATTTTGGCGCGTTCCTAGACATGGACGACGACGGGCTAAGCTACACGTTCCCATGCTCCTTGCTGTCCAGTGACAGCCATGGATGCTCGACGATCACATCCTTCACCATCACCGGTTGCCGTCTGGGTTACATAGACAGGGTCGGCTGCTTGGTAAGCCTGAGGATGAACTTAGCTGCTTCCTGTCGTCTTGGCCTGCTTTGGAGGAGCTGGAGCTCTCCTACTGCCATGACATTGTTTGCCTGAAGATACCTCGATCATCTTCTGTCGCGGTTCAAATTCCTACATGTAGGAAACTGCAACAGCTTGCAAAAGATTCAATGTGATGCACCAGAGCTCGAGATCTTTTCATATGTTGGGTTGCCGACGACGCGCGTCTGCCTTGGAGATTCATCATCCCTAGCGACAGAGATGAAAGTGTCTAGTCTCTAGTGTGGACGAGCATGGCATGCTCTCTTATGCCACCACCAAGCTCCCTTCTGTCGCACCAAATCTCAGCATCCTTTCTCTATCATCATGCTTCGAGGTCAGTGTTTCCTTCTGTTACAATTAGTGCTCATGCATTCTGACGACAGACATACATCTCTATCTTTATTTTTCTTACTATATATATTTATTTACTTCATCGATGTTTTCCCTGTAATGTACTTTAACAATATTATTATTATAGCTTCATTGCTCTTTACAAACATGTGAATTTTGTATTGTCTTTGTACCTAAACATATATATGCACTAACAATTGGGGCCTCTGTTGTTTCTTTAGGTTGGAGCTGATACACAAATGAAGAAGCTTACCAAATTTCGCCACCTCAAGTACTTGAGGATACGGCTTCATACGCCAAGCCGCTGTCCGGACTATGATTTTTATTCCCTTGTTTCTTTTCTTAATGCCTGTCCTGCTCTGCATACTTTCATCTTGCAGGTAAGACCCCCTCCTTTTCATCAGAATTCAGAAACCTTTATATATATACATGTATGACATTTCGTGCCTTTGCGCTTGAACTATCATCTGTGTGTCCGTACAATGTTTTTCCATTTATGTAGTCAATCAACATACGTTAATATAACCAAAATTCCAAGAAAAAAAGACATTTGATGCTAAGACACCTTTGTATTTGTATATACATACATGCAGTTAGAGATGCATGATGCTGCTGCTGATGCCATTCCGGGAGATTCTCATGGTGATTGTTCCCCACAAGAGAAAAGGCATGGAGGAACTGGACAACGCCGTCATCGCAAGTTGAAGAGAGTGCTGATAAGTGGGTTTCGCTCTGCAAAAGGTTTGGTTGAGCTAACAAATCACATCCTTGAGAATGCAACGTCATTAAAACAGCTGGTATTGGATACTCGTATGGCCGCAATAGGGGGCATTGCATGTGCACACCTCTAAAATGGAACGCCCTGATGGAAGCTCGGAAGGCTGTGGATGTCATCAAGAGATGCATCCAAGGTCAAGTCCCCTCAAGTGTTAAATTCAAGGTTATTGAGCCATGTATCAGGTGCCACACCGATGAGGCATGCAAGTCGAAGATAATAAACTAACATTCTCTGAAGTTCATTCATTCATGCGTTGCTACACTGTACCCACTACTAGAGAATAGACTTTAGAACGATGTCCCAATTTAGCATTAGCCTCGGCATTTTTTGCCCCCGGGACTAAAGGACCCTTTAGTCCCGGTTGGTAATACCAACCGGGACTAAAGGTCCCTGCCCAACGGTCGTCTCATGAGGCGAGGATCTTTAGTCCCGGCTGGTATTACCAACCGGACTAAAGGTTTACCTTTAGTCCCGGTTGGTAATACCACCCGGACTAAAGCTTTTAGTCCCGGTTTGGGTTATGCCCCGGGAATAAAGATTAATCTTTAGTCCCGGTTTGGACCCCTAACCGGGACTAATTATCCCGGCCTATAATTCTGCTCAATTCTTCCTCCCCGAGCCCGAGCCATTCCATTATTCAAACTCACCGCCTCTGTTCTTCACTTTGTCTGTTGTTGTTCTTGCACTCTCCCCTCCATTGGTGTTGCTCTTCGATTTTGGAGGTAACAAACTTAATCCTCTTATGTTTTATCAAGTAGCTTATCTCATTTTGCGATGTAGATGCATGTGTAACTTTATATGTTGGACTTTATTATGATTTTATATGTCATTTTTAGCTCAAAATCACATGATGATTTGCATATATGTTTGGATAAACAAAAGTTAAATTAGTTCATCAAAATCACGCCTCATTTGGTCCTCATTGGAGCACGCGTCATTCTCGCCCCCCAGTGGCTTACGTGATCTTAGAATTAATTTTTCCATGAAATGAAAAACTTAGAAAATTGTTAGAAAATTGTAGAAAATCCGTACTAGTTGAACTTGCGGACCGTGTTCATCTCGGCGAGCATGTTCTCTCGCCGAAGCGATAACGGACGTCAAGGAGGAGCTTTGATTCTACGAGGAGAGCGGCAACGGTCGTGGAAGACCGTGTTCCCTTTCTCGTAGAATCGGAGCTCTTCCTTGGCCAAGGCACGGTGCCGTCCGGTGGAGAAATGCTCACGAGAGATGATCACGTAAGCAAGATCAACTAGTACGGATGGTTATTTATTGAAACATGTTTTTGAGCTATAATTTGATGGATATTTGAAAATATGAAATTTACACTAGTTTGCAAAAATAAGTATAGAAAGTAGATGACAATCATTATCGGATCCTCGGCCTCTCGTTCGGTTGCGAAACGACTGAGGCCAGAACTCCCTCTTATTATCTGCGGCAAGTGTAAGCAGAAGATTGTGATGGAGTACCGAGTCAAGAGACAGGGACCCAACAAGGGTCGTATTTTCTACAAGTGCCCGGATCGCGATGTGAGTTTCTTACGCATTTTATAATTATGGCTAATTGACTGCTTTTCTTGAATATTTTTGACTAAATATTTTTGGCTTTAATTTCAAAGGGAGGGCAATGGATGCGATGGTTGGTACTGGGAGGAAGATTATGCTACATACGTCAAGTAATTTGGGTGCGCTTGAGGTAGCGGCTGCTGGCGATGAGGCGAAGAGCCAAAGCCAGGAGAAGCTTATTGATATTCAACGTAAGAATGATTTGTCTGCTTTTAGTTGGCGTCGATCACAAAATAATTATGTTATTGAAGTGCATTGTAGTTTTAGTTTGTTTAGTGATAGTTGGGATTGCTTACGTTGTAGCCAAAGCTTAGTTAATTAATCAACCGTGTGTGTGTCATTTATGTTGTGTAATAAAATACTTAATTATGTTCAAGGTTTTCATAATTTATCGTAATACTGATTATGTCACGCCATTGGATGTACAATGCCGATCGCCGCTCCCAAGACTTTATAGAGGGCTTGCACTATTTCTTAGGTGTGGCCGAGGCAAATAAGCGGGATGGTTTCATATGATGTCCATGTGCCCTATGTAAGAATTTAAAGGAATATTCAAGCTCAATGAGTCTTCATTCACATTTGCTTAAGTCGTGGTTTCATGTCAAACTATATATGTTGGACTAAGCATGGAGAAAGCGGGGTCATGATGGAAGAAGGTGAAGGAGAAGATTTAGACATTGATGACATTATTGCTCAAGATGGTGCCTTTGATGATACTACAATGGGGGAGATGAAGAAGATGTAAGCGGTGAA